CCATCCCGTTCCAAGAGATCTTGGGATCGATTCTCATCATTCGCTCTTCCGGCTCTCTAAACACCAAAAAAAAAATGTTAATGTAATTTTATAGCTTTAAGGCTTAGCATAAGGAAAAAATTTGGGCTTTTTAATTAGAATTAAATTACATAATACTTATAATCAAACATCATAATATTAATCACAAAACCCATATTTAACAATTAGATATAAGGTTTAAACAAAAATTAAAAACAAAGATTAAATTTATTTTTTCAAAAATCCGAGCAGTAGCCACGGCACCACAGCCGGTTGCTGTCGTACTGCTGATGGCGCCGTTGCTGCTGCTGGCGGTACTGGTGGTGGCCGGCGGCCCACCGGTGGTGTGGTGGTGGCTGGATCAATCACTTTAATCAATCTTATGATTATAGGAATTGGAATTTAGCTCGTATATGAATGTTCATTTTCATTTTGATAAATGTTCATATATGTACTATTATATGTTCATGCACATATTAATATACGCTCATTAGAATTATGATAAATGTCCTTATCTCCATTTTATGCCTATATTTTCTATTGATCTAATAAGGAATATCAATCTATTGTAAATTTTCACTTTAGGTGGAACATTGATTATTTAATTTAGATGGATTTTATGTTCATTTATATTCAATTAGTTTTGATATATGTCATTCTCTTAATCTTATATGTTCATTCTTATATTGAAAGATGTTTATTTGCAATCTAATTCAATATTTATTCTCATATATAAATGTTCATTTAGATTTATACTCATTCATTCATTCTCGCATTAAAAGACATTTGTTTCAATTTTAATACTTGTTTGTTATCACATTAAAAAATGTTCAATTAAATTTTAATATTTGTTCATTATTGTATTGAAAAATGTTTATTTAGATTTTGATATTACTTGTTCATCTTCATATTGAACTATGTTAATTATTTTCAGGCAATATGTTAAAATTTTGTATTTTAAAATGTTTATGCCTTTTTTTTTTGAAGGGATTTCTGCCTTGTTTATAGTATGTGTGTTTTGATTGTTACTAACATTTTACTTTATAAAATTTTGAACTCTTATCACACAGGACAATCAATGAAATAAAAAAGTTGAAGACGATAATGTATGTATTGATGAAAAGATATGTACCAAGGAAAACACACAAATTAAACATCATAAGAGTACGTAAAAGGGTATCTATTACAAGGACGATGATTCTACAAACATTTTATGTGTACCAAATGTATTAAATTAGAGGCGATGTTCAATTCATTTTGTAAGACACATATATACTAAGTACATAATATGTACATTTTTGAAGTTTAAGATTTTCGCTTTTGATTTTATAAAAGTTTCTACTTTTAATTAATAAATTGAGCTTGTGTACATCTATACATTTGAAAAAATAAAAAAGCAAGAAACAATAAGTATATAGTATCGCCGTATTAACAATATTGAACATGTAATGATACAAAACTGAATATACCAAAATGAACATTTTATATATGATTCGAAATCTAAAAATTATAAGATGGCATCATTATTATAAAGAGGGGGTGCAGGTAGTGCTACCTACATAGGGGTGTAGGCAAAAATTTATATGTTAGCCTAATATTAAGAATTATCTATTGATTATGGGTCTTATCTTATAAAACTTTTTCTATGATTATGGGCCTTACTTTACAACTGGGCCGAAATAGTTTAGGGTCAATATTCAATGTTTTTTTTTTGACATGGTCAATGTTCAATGTTAGAAGCGTTAATCGAAGGTCATCAAATTATTTTAAGCCAAAAGAATTACCTTTGTTAGTTGTGGATGTAATTTTTAATTCATGTTGTATTTCTCATGGCTGTAGACCTATTTGGGCAACATCGTTGTATTACTCGAGTTCAATCAAGCCTAATTAAGTTCTTTGTGCCCAACATTTAACCTATTTAACTGGGCTTTGAATGTAAATGATATAGTAATCTAGGTCATACAGGCCCAAATAAATATGTACCCATCAACACCCAGCATACAATTGTTAATGATCCTAATAAGACAGTCCACTGCTACACAAATAAGAAAGTCCTCTTCACTCTAAGCAGTGATTACCATTATAGCATAATCATACATTCACTATAACGAACAACAAATATCTATGACAACGTATCCATATGAAATTGAATTTAAATTACAACTTTAACATTTGCCTTATCTTAAGCCTTTCAACTCATCTGAGTCATCTTTTTGACGCAATGCTACTTATGTTTGCCTATGACCTTGTGCGTACGAGTCGGAGCCCTCCTGCGCCTTTTCTTACACCCCCACCGTATTCGACAATTCCTACACATAAAAACAAATTCAGTCCAATTCGAGTACGATTTCATTATTTGGGCATGTTCTCATTGACTGAACTCAGCTGAATTGAACTGAATATTTTATAAGAGACGGAAATTAGGAGTTGAACTGAACTGAAAATAATCGTATGAGAACAGAGTCTAACCCAAATAAAACTTATCATGAACTCACAGGGTATTGTGTAATTGTAGTAGGGCCTTCTGTGTCCCTAGCCTCCTAAGATGAGATTCTCCATACGTAACATCTAACAACTACAAGACTGCTATGTATCATATAACACTTTTGATGTCAATGTAGCAAAACAGACACATGCTAAATCACTGGCTACTTACCCCTAAAAAACCATAGTCTCCCATTCCAAGCCTATCACACTTCCCAGGCTTACGAATTTGCTTCATATTCCACACTTTGATACAAGGAAATACCCCCCATTTAATGGGATCCCTGTCCAACCTGTCTAAGTAATATATCTGCACAAAATTGAAACTGTTAATATGAAGCTTAACTTTGTCATCATCTCACAATATAGACACACATTAGTAGTCGCCATAGTTGTACACTTACCACTACAAACATGGCACACCCCCCGCAGCCACCGGCATATCCATTCGCATAAAATCGTCGCGCAAAGCTACATACACTGTTCATCAACTTAGACAATACCAATTCACGCCAATCATAATCACAACTTTCCATTACCCAACCAAGTGCAGGTAGTAAGTCAGAAGCTAATCTTGGTGACTGGGTGGGGAACAACACCATTTGTAATGCAATGATGAGGAATAAGGTTTTGAATTCTTCCTCCTAATTTACCTAAAAGTGTCCTTCATGTCTTTCATCCCAGAAGTCACAGGAATAATGCCTATGGACGTGTAGACCATGCTACACTCATTCTTTGATTTAGTCTCCCAAGATTTACCATATTTCAAGAATATGTTCAGCACCTTCTTACGAACTTCATCTTTCATCATATTCATATTAGGGACTGCTTTTGGACCATTCGGAATACCTAGAACCCATCTAACCTAATTCTTTGAAAATCGGAACTCCCGACCACCCGGAACAATAAACATTTTGTTTATAAGTGGAGCGGCCCTCCAAAACCCATCTCGTAAACCCACCTTCTCCTCACTTGCCGGATTTTTTGTTGTCGGAAAACCAAAATGGGTAGTGCTAGTCAAACTTTAAAATTGAGTAGGTAGTTTTTTTGATAAAAAAAAAATTAAGCAAGTAGTCGTTGACAAAATGACGTATTAAGCAGGTAATTCTTGACAATTTTTCCTAAAAGAAATTTGAATCCAGATTTTAGAAAATTCAAACTCGCTTTTGATTCTAAGGCAAATCATGTTTTCGTACTAACATAATGATATGTGACTATAAACCCTAACTCCCACCTGTAATGGCCGTCTATGTAACACCGTCTATCCAGTCAGTAATTAAAATTCCAGCTCATTTATAAAAAACATCACAAAACCCACATCGGTACCTACAAACTTCCGACTTTACCTTTTTTATTTTTCTGTTATGTAAATCAAAGAGTGCTTTTCCATGAATAATGCTCCTAAGTATTGCAATTCCATAAATACAATCATTCTTTTATTAATTCCAAGATTACTACCAACGTCAACGGTTTAAATGAATAAATTTTTTTCCCGGATTTTTTATAAAACCGCTACTTGAAGCAGCATTTTATGTAGGAAAACCGCTACTTTAAGTAGCAGTTTCCACTAATAACGAAACTAGTCCACTAAATAAAAATATCCTCATCTCTCTCTCTCTCTCTCTCTCATTGAAACCAAAGTCCTTCATTACCAATCCTTGTTCAAATTTTATATCTCACTCAAACTTCTCTTACCTATTAGTCCAATTTCATTATTAATTGCTTATCATCCTCAAAGGTTTTGGTTCCATTATGTGAATTTATCCTTAATTACAGGGGATTTGATAACTCAATTTTTTTTTTTTAAAAAAAAAAAACTATAATGAACACCGCTACCTCAACCCAAAATGAAAACCGCTCAAATGGCGGTTTATTGCTGGTCTAGAAGAATAAAAAAGGTTTAATACCTAGATGATAACGTGGAAAGGACTGTATTAATGGAATTGCAATTCTTGGGAACATCTATACTATAACGTGGCACTCTTCAATGTATACAACATCATGTCACAATGCCACGTCACTATTCATGCGACACATAAGCTTGCAACTTCATTTAACAAAATAAATAAATTATGATTTGATCTAGATTCGAACCCGCAACCTCCAACAAATAAAGGTTATACACTTACCATCTCAACCACTATTATTAGTGTTTTAAATTTCACATAATTAATATTATATATTCCTTTTTAATTAGAGGTTATTCAATTTATTTATTCTAGGCAATAACGCCTAGGTCAAACACTAGCTGTACAATCAATTAAACATAATCATCAAATTAAAGAAGTAAAAAAAGTAAAAATTAGCAATCTGGGCATTGTTTGGGACACACACTAGTTATTTATGAAAAGCACTCTAAATCAAATTGAATAACTTTTTTTTTTTTTTTTTTTTTTTTTTTTGGGGAATCAAATTGATTAGTTTGAATTTTCCGATTTGTGTACCAAACAAACAATAAAAAAAAAAAAAAAAAAAAAAAACAAAGATAACCGGACAAAGGAAATAAAAAAGTAAACCGAACCGATCAAAAAAGAAAACCGAAAGAAGAATACAAAAGCACAAAACCCTTAGAACCCTAAATTGCGAAATCGAACAATTCAATCATCAATCATGAATTTTGAAAGATTTGAACGCGAATTGCAAGACTGTGTGCTGAAATTGGAATCCTAAGAGCAGCGATTAACTTTCCAGAGGGAAATCTGCTTTCTCTTAACGAAGATCTGAAGCTTTTGAGGTCAGAGACGGTGGATTTATTTGGATTGTCGGACAAAGTAGATCAAAGAATTCAGGGGATTGAAGAGAATTTCTTGAAGCTGAAGCAGGAATTTGAGCAGTTCAGGCAAATTATGGTCTTGAGGTTGAATGCTATGGCGGTCGATGCTATAAACAATGAAGATCTTCTGAATTTCTACATCAACAACTTCAATCAATCGGTTCCTACTGTAAGATCAATTGTCTTTCACCTTCAATTATTTTGTTTTCATAGAAAATATTGAGATGTCAGTACTAAATGCAGAATACATTTTCCCTAAATGCTAAACTAATTAATTATAATTAAATTGTATGCTTTCATTTTACAAATCTTTGATTACTTTTTTTCAATTTATGAAAAATCTTTAACTAATTTACTAGTAATGTTCAATTACTTGTTAATCTTCGTCCTGGTTAATATTCTTTTTTGCGTGGATTGATAAATATGAATTACAGAGTGCAAATTTTCATTAGATAATATTATGGTACTCCGTAAACATTTGTTGTGTGGATTAAACTCAGGTTTTGTAGGAAATGTATAATTGAAATAAATAATTTCAATACTCAATAAAAATTACCTACAAGTGCTTCATATCAAAATAAATTTTTGATCCTCTTAGGTTCAATGGCAATCCCTTTCATGTAGTTTTATCAAGTTATTAGCTCTTAGGTATCTTGAATCCATATTCTATGATGTAGTGATTAAATAATATCAAGTATTTGGATTATTAAAAATCATGGGCTGTTGGTTGTTGGCATCGACTACCGATACTCAAATCCGGTAGGCGACAGTGAGTACCAATTGGAGGAGCCAGTACATGGCTAAAGCTACCGGCTCCTTTGTTCAATAGTTGCCTTGTGTTGCGGGATCTGTGTACCACTAGTCGTTGCTAAGGTCTTGTTAATGAGTGCCACTCTTGTTAAGGTCTTCCAAACTACCTTTTAGAAACAAAGCATTAGTTTAAACCATAACTTTCTTGTATCTAGCATTGATTGCAACGATCATGCCACCTTTGATTGCCAACAATTCAGCCTAAGACGAACTTCTAGCAGTAATCTTCCATGAGCAACCACCAAGTCAACCTCCATCACTAGCTCTGATTGCAGCCCCAGCCCCTGCCTTTTCTTTGCTTTGCCACGCTCCATCAACATTAACTTTGACAGAAGTCTAGATAGCCTCCTCCCTACTCATCTTCGTTTCCCTTCATTTCCCTGAAACACATTAATAGTAGCCACCAAATCGACCATGTATCTGTTAAACAAGGTGACAGGATGAACCATAGCAAGCCTAAAAACAGCTTGATTTCTAATCTTCCAGATGTGCCACAAAGCAACTGTAAAAATGGTTTTCCAGTTCATACTAAGGCTGAGGTTATGTCGAACCCAATCAATCCAATTGGTGTTGTAAAAAGTGTGTTAATTGAAGTCCTTATCCAACCTGTTCCCCGTCAAGATTCTTGACCAAAGAACCTTAGAATTAATACAATCACGAAATAGATGGATATGGGACTCACTGTCAAGCTCACAACCCCTTTGAAGAATAGTGGCAGTGGGAGAATTTGGTGGCAAGCATTCCAAAGCAATATTTTGTACTTATAAGGGGCTCGTATGTGCCATAGCTTGTTCCATTTTGAAAGGGAAAAGAAGGGTGAGGAGTGAACTTAGAGCTTAATTAATTTGCAAATATGGCTAGGGATGATGTGTTAAAAATATAATTTGATTAATGTACTAGATTTAAATTTTGTTTACTAATTATTATATTGTTTCAGGCTTTTCAGTGGATCTATTGGCTGCAACGTGATGCGGCTAATCTCCCAGAATCAATAATTTAGCCGTGGTATTTATTTATTTATTTATTTATTTATTATTATTTTTTTTAATAGAAATAGTTGCAACACTTACATATTTTTGTTTGACGGTTTGTTTGTTTTTTTTTAACAGATCGAAGCTGATCAGATTCTGAATGTTGCTGCTGAGCAGACACTGATAATTGAATCAGTGATCCCATATTACACTGCTGCTTAGACGAAGGTGAATTAGTGACTGACAATTGTAGCTACTGTTTACATTTAGACACTGGATTTTTGTATAGACACTGAGCTGAGCTATTTGATACTTATGCTCATGAAATTCCGGATTACATGGATGCTGCTTGAAGCTGATGATGATACTATGTCCTGCTGTTCTCAACTCTAAAAGTAGCTACTTTTGTGAAGCATCTGCTTTCTACTAGTTCCTATTTTGCAAACTCTATTAGCTATGTTACTAGGCTTTTGAATGGGCTAAGGCTGCTTTATATGCACCCTCCTATTCTCATTTTGAGCTTGTGGTTTAATGCCTCTATAATGTAATACTTGTATATATTTCCCCTTTGCGTTAAAAAAGATGAATTTCGAACAACTTTCTCTCTCCTATTTCCCTTTAGGTGAGTGTGTATACACGAGTACACGACTTTAACTTTGCCGTGAAATGGAGAAAGAAAACGGAATGGGAAAATAAAGAACAAATACGGAGTCCAAGTCAGCATTGCCATATTAAATGAATACAGTTCGAAAATCTAGGCCATTTAGCAACAATAATATTGTGGTTTAATTAGCGACAATTTCATAATATTGCCCTTCAGACACACTAGTACTGTAGTTGTTAAAAACTTAAAATTATGAACTAGGGCATAACAAATAGCAAACCACAAAGAGCACAAATCCCAAAACAAAAACTCCAAGTTTAATTTGTAGCTTGCGAAACCCTGCAGCCTCTGCCTCCGCTACCTCTTCCCTTTTCTTACGTAAGCCGGCAATATAGCGTTCTTTTGCCGAACTCAGTGTCTTACACTACAAGAGATAGGTAGATATGGCTTATTAAACAACATTAATAATACAGTAATAAAAAAATATAAACAAGAAAGGTAATTAGAAATACTATATCATTTGTGTAAAAAAAAAATACTATTAAAAAAGTAATTACTATATCATAATTATCATTATAATCATATTCTATTGATTATATATATATATATAAAATACCTCCGTTACATATTATTTGCAACGATTAGACATTTTTTCTCTCTACTTTATGTCAAATCGTTGCAAATAATATGTAACGGAGGTAGTATATAATTCGAGGTTTTGAACATTCTAAATCTTATAGCCCTATGACATACCAGATCAAGGATGCCGCGCTCGACTACATCGTTGGTGCGGAGACTGAACTGCTTCATGGTGGTGAGGGAGAAATTGGGGTGATACAAATAGGGCTGATACAAGTCGTAGGGGTAGCGGTCATGGTGCGCCAACATGATTTCCCTGAGACAGTTATTTACTTCAATGTTAGAGTCCTTGTAAACTTGAATATACAAGTCCAAAAACTTGTCCTCAAATTCGATGTCGTCCCCACCAAATATTGTTTTAAGCTCTATAAAATCTGACAATTTCTTTAGATATTGTTCTTGCCTTTCGGGAGTAAGATCACATAATGCGCCTAGCGTTCGTATCCTCCCTGCATTGTCCTTCTTCCTCCACAATTCTGTTGATAACAATCTCGCCGCCATCTACTCTTATTTAATAATATTCTAACTAATCTCTTCTCTAACCTTTTTTTTTTTTTTTTTTTTTTTTTTTTGGTGGAGGCTTTTTCATATATTGATATATATAGGCACGGTAAAACCTAATTATGAGAACACAATATTTACTAATTATACTCAAAGTATAATTAACAAAAATATATACAAGATTATTAGTTTAGCATAATCTCTATCATATATATCTTTTGGCAGTTTTTTAACAATTATATATTGTTAGTATCAATCACCAAATATTTATTTTTTCAAAAAAAAAATAAAAAAATAAAAAAATTACCAAAAACTACATAATTCTACGGGGTAGTATTTGGTTAAGAAAAATACCAATTTTAACTCCTACCCTTGTATAATATGGGCAGGTATCACCGTATCACCCATATATATGAACAATAATAATGTTGTAACCTTTTTTTCTTAAAATGTTGAGCCGATTTTAAGATTGATATGCAATCTATACTAGTTAATTTTTGCTCTCTACTCAATCGTAATTATATACTACGTATATTAATGTATGTGTTTATGTTTGGGTTGTAGAGCATTTAATTATTTTTTTTGGCGTTTGAAAGCCACAAGGGTGGGGTGAGAATTGATTCCATGATCTCTTGAGATCGGGAGAGAAGCTCTAACCATTGAGCTAGCCCTCACTCTCACAACATTTAATTATTACTGCTCTGTATTTTGTTTATTCTACTTGATGAAATTTGTGCCTTTTTTTTATTTATTTATTTTAATCCTTGTATAATAATTTGTCCTTTGTACAAAGTCTTGTATGTGCCTAGCCACACACAGTGGCGGATCCAGGATTTCCGAGATAGTGTGTCACCATCAATTATTGATCATTTGTGAAAGTACAATTTTTTTCCATGTCTTGTTCATAATTAATTTCAATCCAAAAATTATATATATATATATATATATATATATATATATTTCACCAAATTGATTTCAATCCAAAAATAGGACACAAAAATTCATACCACAACCAAATACAGTACTTAAAAATTCAATTTTACAAGTCGAAAATATTACAAATAACATGTTATAAACAAATGGTACAATAAAATTATTATATTGAATTAACTTTATGATTTTTTAGTTAATTGATAAGCTTTATGGGGAAATATTAAAATTGGTTGTACAAATATAAGATATAAAAAGGGAAAAAAAATTATTAAAAAATTATACAAAAAAAAGTGAGATAACTTAAGAGACCAGTTATTAAATATAACTGGTCTCTTTAATGAAAAAAGAAAGTAGCGCAAAAAAATTGCGAAATGCAATAGCAGCATCAAAGAGACCTCTTATATAAATAACAGGTCTCTTTAATATTTTAAAAAAACCACAGCAAGTCTTTTGTAGCAATAGCAGCATTAAAGAGATCGCCTATCTTAATAAGAGGTCTCTTTAATATTGTTTGTTGTTACCAATAGCAGCATCAAAGAGACCACCTATCTATAATAAGGGGTCTCTTTGATATTTTAATTTTAAAAAAAAATACTGTGTCACCGGACCCACTATGACTAAAGGTGGGTCCGCCCCTGGCCACACATTATGGTGACATTTTTTTTTTTTTTTTTTTGCATAAAAAAAACATTGGTTTATAATAGTTTGCAGCGAAAAACCATTGGTGTTAGAGAGAAATAAAACTACAAAAAAGTAAAGGGAATAATTGAAGAAACAGAGAGAGAAAGTGTTGAAAATTGATGTTAAAAGTACAAAAAAGTAAAGGGAAAAAGATGATAACTCATCAAAAGGAGGGTAATAATGTCAAAAAATACAACATTTAAATAGAAAGAGGCATTGTATTTTAGTTTACCCAAAAAGGAAATGAGACTTTGTATTAAGGGACGGAGGGAGAAGTAATTTTCATTCATATGTATGATTTAGTGAGTACGAGGGGCAGACTATTTAAAGGGCATAAAAGGGCTTGGCCCATGGTAGATTTTGGGAATTTTTTTTTTTTTTAATTTTGGTTATTATGTAACATGTACAAAAGCCTTAAGTGTAAAGCCCAATAAAATTACAACTAGTTGCTTTTTTACTTAACTAGGCTTTGTATGGTTTCATCAATAAGAGTTGGCTCAAGTGGTAAGCAACTTATTGTCACTTAAAGGAGATCACAAGTACGAGTCTCGCCGTTTGCTTTTTTACTTAACTAGGCTTTGTATGGTTTCATCAACAAGAGTTGGCTCAAGTGGTAAATAACTTATTGTCACTTAAAGGAGATCACAAGTACGAGTCTCGCCGAATACAAAAAAACTCTTGTTAGAAGATTCGCCCTCCATAAGCCAAGATGTGCAACCCAGATCGAATCTGAATATAGTCAAAGTTAAGCTCCGATGAATCAGGTGTGGCTAACTCTCAAGAAAAAAAAGGACACCGTATGGTTTCAACTATCCCAATTCATAAAAAACACTTGCAACCCAAAAGCCCATTACTAAAGAGAGTAGTTAAGATTTAAGAAATAATTAGGAGGGTCTATTTACTAGAATTAGACGTTTAAGAGTGGAGGCCAAATTCTTTCTATTGAACATTTCACCTTCCCAAAAACAACGCCCAATTTAGCTACAGTAAGCTTCTTTCTCTCTCTTATTTTCGTCTCATCTCATGTAATAAACCATCCAATTTCTATCTGCGAATAATCAATTTTCGATTTATGTATATCATTATTTGCAATAATATTGTTTGAATTAGATTGTTATTCTTAGTGTATTCGATTAAACCCTAATTAGGCAACTTGTAATTTCTGTTAGATTGTTTGCAAAATTGGCTTTTTTTGTTTTTATCTTGAATTGAATTTGTTTTCTTTAATTTTTTAGCTCTCAATATTTGGAACGAAAATTTTAGCTGCTAATATGATTTTATTGAAATTGAAATTATACTAAGAAGTTTAAAATTTACAATTGATTTATAGAGTTATGGGTTCCAAATGTTGCTCTAATTTCCCCCAATAAAAAATTGTCATTTTTAGTTTTTAATAAAATGTATTATGAGATAAAAATTTGTGAAGGCCTTTAATGGTGGTAGTATAGGCATAAAATACTCATCAATGTTGAACTATTCTTGAATTCATTTGGGTTTTCATTAAGTATTTTCATGTGTTCCAAATGTTTCTCTAATTACCCCCAATAAAAATTTGTCAGTTTTAGGTTTTTAACAAAATGTATTATGAGATAAAAAATTGTGAAGGCCTTTAATGGTGGTAGAATAGGCATGTAATACTCATCAATGTTGAATTCTACTTGAATTCATTTGGGTTCATTAAGTATTTTTATGGAGTTGAATAAATTTCATAATTTGATGTTTGATCAAGCTGGGTGTGTGTGCATGCGTGTTCATATGATTGTTGAAATTATCCATGTTCATTCACTTTCATGTTATTCTTTGTGTTCTTGTGAGATTTATCTTTAAATTATCCAGTCGTTTGTCATTGTCTATCATCCTCTTGAAATTTTGGAGGACTGTAGGATTGCGAACTTATGAGTGGCAAGGTCAAAATTCTTTTTGCAAGCTTGAGCAGAAAATTGCTCTGCATGCTTGTAATATAAGGGGTGGTGGGCTGGATTTGCATGCCATAGTTATATTGGTTTCAACGAGTTGTTTCAATATTCCCAAAAGAAGAAAAAATTGATATGGTGGCTTTTATCTCATGTAATCAATGGTGTTTATTAAGAGCCTAGGTAAAATTGATTTTGTTGATGCTATTTTTGTGAGGGGCTGTGACATCATGTATATAATCTTAGAACTTTTTAGTATCACCTCTGAATTCACTATGCTCCTAACTTCTTTCCGCCCACGGAAAAAAAGTATAGAGCTTTTCCATGTTTTCCCTTGTCAAGGTTGCTCTGTTCCAGTCTTTTGAGAGTTATATTGGAGCTGTTTTGAGTATGATGTGTCTCATTTTTGCTTGAAACTTCAATTTGTTATGACAGATGACAAGGCTTATAACTGGTTCTCAATCCTCGTTGCTACTGCCTCAGCTTCAGCCACATGCTACCTTACCTGGAAGCGGGCTTTTATCTGTCAAGTATGGGGGAACCTCTGTTTCTTCTTGTTATAAGCTCCATCTGTCTTCAACGGCCAAATCAAGGATCTGCCAACACCCTTTAACATCTTCAAGTTTTTCTCAGCTTAATACCCGCCTCCAAAGGGGCATTATTGCAACAGCTGTTTCCAGCACTTCTAGTCTCGACTTTGAGTCACCAAGTGAGGTGTTTGACGTTAAGCCTGATTTCTCTAGTGGAGGTGGTGACGATGGTAGTGGTGGAGATGCAAGCGGTGGGGGTGGGGGTGGAGATGCAAGCGGTGGGGGTGGGGGTGGAGATGGAGGTGATGACAACAGTGAAAACAAAGGTGATGAAGGATCAGATGATGCTGATGCCAAGAAGAGTAAGGGTCTTTCGATGTCCCAGAAACTTACCCTTGCTTATGCTGCCCTAGTTGGACTTGGAGGCCTTATGGGCTACTTAAAGAGCGGCAGCCAGAAGTCACTTGCATCTGGTGGACTGTCTGCCCTGCTGTTATACTATGTCTACACTGAGCTTCCTAAACGTCCTGTCTTTGCTTCTTCAGTTGGGCTCGGCCTGTCTGCTGCACTCCTTGTTGTGATGGGATCGCGATTCAAGAAGTCGGGAAAGGTATTCCCTGCAGGTGTCGTCTCACTTGTTTCTCTAATAATGACCGGTGGTTATGCTCATGGGGTTATGAGATCTTCGCACTGAAATGAACTGATGAATTGTAGTTCTCATAGCTGAAAGTGAAGGGTTTTGGTACTCCTAGTCGGAGTTTCTTTTTTGGTAATGGACTCCATCCTGTGTAATCTGTGGTAGAATTGTTTTGGCTTACTTGAGAATCTCCTAGTGTAAAACTGTGGGATTGCATTTTGGAGTTTGTATTGGCTTTTCTGTAGTAATGTAAATTTGCTCTGTTGGAATAACCTGCTACGGCTGCTAGTAAAAGGAATTTGGCCCAGCGATGGCTAATGAGTTCAATTAAATTTTAGATGTTTGGTTGGGACTTGCTGAAACATGTGGTTACTCTTACTCTAGATCTTTATGGCTGGCCTTCCTCTCATTGGATCATGTGTTATTCTAAGTTGAAATTTCTATATGCTCAGATTGTGGATCGATCATTACTGGGATAACGGTCCATAAATTCCAACATCTGAAGAAACGATCTAACCTGTATTCTTATGCACTGTGCTTGCATGAGGTGCACAGGGATGTGCAACATATGTTGATGAGTGCGATGCTGTTTACGTGCTTTTTCACACCCATTTCCCCCTTGAAATATGCCATGAAAAATAAGAAATGGCTCTATTTAGACCATAGTCCTCACATTGTGCATGGTATATCATCCCTCTACGCGTGTATATCTTTAGTACTCTGTATATTATATGCTAGAGATAGTGTAGATTTTGCACCTTGGCCCAGTTTGCTTAGCCATAGTTCTTGTTTTTTCATGTGTGCACCAAAATTTTTACAAGTGGCCTAGTTCATTTAGCCATGGCTCATAGTTTTCCATTTGTGCCCCACAAGTACAAAACGAATTCATAATTTCACGCCCATAACAAAAGCAATGGCAAAAATAAAATAAAACCAATGACTTAGAAGAACCCAGAGTTGATGCTGACACTATTTGTGATGTGTGAATCAGTAGCAGCCACAGAAAATTATGTGGTAGGAATTTTTTTTCCTTATTTTTCCTCACTAAGTGACCATATATGAATCATTAATTCATGAAAAATTTGTTGATTTTATTCGAAAACTGCAGTCCAATGAATCAATAAAAACGATGGAATTGATACTTTAGATAGCTCTGCTCTAAAATATGGAAATAAGAGGACCAATTCTTGAGAAAAATCTATGGCTTTGAACTTCACAACTACCTCTGCTAATAAGGCTTTGTTTGGTTGTGTCCCTAAACCTTACTCAAACTTCCCAAAAAATAAGGATCTTTTTAAGGTCTGCCCTTTATCAGGAGTACAGTTAAGGTCTGCAGCTGCTCAATCTGATGGAAGTCAAGGAAGAGTTACAACAGAAGAAGAGATTGAGGATTCTGCTTCTGAGGATGCTGGTAAGTTTGCCTTTGTGAACTCATTTGGTTTGATTAATTTTAAGCTTTTGGAATGTAGATATGTGCATTATAATCTACTTCGTATGTAACTCACTTTTCATTTCACCTTAAATGCCCGTGTTGGACCCTTGATACTCTAACATGGGTTCATATTGGGGAAAACTTTCACAAAAATTACCAAGTCAAACACTTGGACACGAATTCATATCCAAGTTGAGTACCAGAATCCGAGTAGCTTAGATGAAGATTACACAACCTCAGGGGTGGTGATACTTTTTGATACAGTAGACAATTTTTTATCATGTATTAGATTTTAGCTGTTATTAGATTCCTGTGCATAACTGCAGTCCTTTGAATTCCTTATGGGCTCCCATTCATGCTTTTAGTTTATGAAATTGTCGACAGCGTATTGTGTTTCACAGATTTTACCATAACCCAAGCAAGTATCCCAATAGTATTGCATAATCACAAATATTAATATGAATTTCTTGTTTAACAAACTAATTCATTCTTCGGGAAACATGTTTGGAATGATCACAAATAATCTTAGAACGGAATGATATTTTTTGTTCCCCTTTTGCATAAACAAAATTTGGTTTACAAGTTTTTTTGGGGCATTTGATCAGCAAAGATTTGAACTTGGTGTTCTATAGGACAATAAGGACATCCATCTTAGTAATACATCAAATTCAAATAGTAAATTCTCAAGGATTTTTGTAAGAATCTGAGACAGTGTAGTTCAGAAGTTCACCATCAAATTGGGCTGATCTTTATTTATTCTTCTGGTCATTCAGTTATTATAATAAAAACACCAAGAATTGTCCAAGATATCAAGGTTGCCATGCTTATAATACCGTCACAGGATGTTTTTAGGGGTATATTAAGGCGGCTTTTTTTTTTTTTTTTTTTTTTGGGTACTTAGCTACTTTGTTCAATCCTATCATATTTTCACACTTTAATTCATATATTTTGACTGTTATTTGCGTATTTAATATTTGTGCCTACACCTAGTAGTTCAAGTCCCTTCTTGATGTGGTCTATCAAATTTTTATATTTTTCTCCTGATTTAAAAGGGCAATTCACTTCTGCACGGGCGCAGCTGGGTCTATTGGATCAACTAACTTCATCAGCAGCTTCTGGTATGAAATCCGTATTTCTGATCACTCATTTGAATTCAAAGAGAGCTGTTATGCTCTATACCTTAAGCAACCAGATTTTTATTTGATGCCCTGTCTTCAAATTTCTCAGGTTATGAAAGTGACCCTGATCCATCAGGAAAAGTAACCATACGAGAGCAGCTTGCGCAACTGGTGGGTGGCAGAGATAACGATTTCATCATTGCACTAGGTAAAAAGAATCTGAAGAAAGTGAGCCCCAAGTTCTTGACCATATCTCAGAAGCGCAACATCAGAAGACAAGACTACCTGAATGAAGTGTCCAAAAGGAATGATTCAGTCTTCTTTGCTAGCATTGGCGCGTTTGTGATCCTTCCCCCTGTAGTTATACTAGGTATTGCTGTTTTAACTGGCTATGTACAACTCCTTCCTTGACACTATACTGTAAAGATTCGGAAAGTACAGTACTTTAGCACATAGCTCCATTTTGCGCCGTTTTTGTACATCTATAAGATTATATCCAAGTACTTTTTGATCTTGTGGTTAGAGCTTCGCTTAACTTCTGCCAGAGCCTATTGTGGGTGAGCTCCGTTTTACTTCGAGTCTGACAAGTAGTCTAAAATAAGGCCTTGGACCAAACCCTTTCCAACAACAGAAATTGCCTATTAATATAGTATAGGATTTGGTTACACAATTAGTCCTTTAAATCCAGAAGTCTGCATTACACAAGGGATACTAAACTTAAATCTCCAAATTTCTTCTTAATTTCATACAAGTTAGTTGATTTTAAAGGCACAAATTTGAATTTTCCAGAGTTGTTTAGCATACTCTTTCTCCTACTTTATATGGAAAGGGTTGGAGTTAAACTTAGTAATTTAGGCTCAAATCCCCCATTCTTTCAGACCTGAAGTTTCTTTAAATGATTCTGAGAAGTTTCTACGCCGTTCCACGCTCATAATCAACTGCACAACTCGTAAAGGAAGTAGATAAACCGATTGAATAGCTAGTTGGAACTGCCCAAATGATTCTCATGAACTCCATTTTTTATGGAAATAAATGAGAAACCTCTTCAATAGAGTCATATAGTATGTTTACACTTATTTTAAGCAACCTTCTAGCTGATTCCTAGTATGAACATGAACTTCAGACAATAAACACCTGGAACTCAGAATTCCTTGAACAAGTCAACAACGAACATCCCAAAATGTGCATCATCAAACCAACAGAACAACTCATGTTATTAGTCAAGTAATACAGCTTGAAATCTTGTCTAAACACATATTCAAGTACACTGTCAAATTCCGTTCATAGATCCACACACCGAAGATACGTTGCTTGACTTGCTTCTACTTTCTCCGTGGCACCTCACATTTACATACAAATAATTATAAAGCAAAGCTTTCCGCATCAAACACAATTATTTAATAATACTTGATTACTTGAGAGAAAATGTTTGGTACAAATTTCATCTGTAAATAATTAGCCACAAGATTATTCGATAACAGTTCAAACACATATACTGAAGTCTGAGGAACCTTCTAATTTACTTTAGATGTTGCGTAAGTTGAGTGCTCATACTTTCCATCCCACCTGTAGGTAATTTCAACAAGAACCAACAGTCACTAAAACAAGAGAGTTTTATTTTAAGCATAATGCTGATTGCATATAGTAGAGGAAGTAAAAGAGAAGTGGGAGCGGGAGGGGGGGATGGAGGCAGCCGCAAACACTAACCTGCATTCTTCGGTTTCTGGAACTTGAAGTTCCAGATGAGCTTCATATGGCTGGAACACTGTGTCCAAGTCCTTATCTTGTACTTTATCGAGGCTTGGTGGGTCCCACTGCAATTAACATAAACACTCCATCTAAGCACACTACCAAAATGTATGCTGTGAGAATAAAAACGGATTTTGAAGGAACTTGTCTCCAATTAAGTAGAGTTTTGATTAACTCCAGAAAGTCTTTATGTTTAATTTCACTAACTTTTTCATGTTCTTCATCCATCCTTATGTGATTATATGTATAACAGGAATCATACAAGTAAATTCATTTAACCAAACAAAGTTGACAGAGAAATTGAATATGAGAGGTAAAAACACCTTTGGAGCATTATCTTTGTCAATGGTGAGTGCTCTGATGCCCTGCAAGTCAAAATATACAGTAATTAAATATTTTTGAAACATGTAAAGATAGCTACTACATTATCTTTTGGGACTTACTTCATACACATCGCCTGATATACAGCTTCTTAAAATGTTTATTGTGAGTCTAAACTCTCTTTTGAGGCATTCGGCCAAGGTTTGTTTCCTTCCTTCACGCACCTAAAATTGTTATAGACAATGGATCACTGGAATAAGGTTTTCAGGAAGAGAGGAATACAATACACAAGTCCAGTAGTTTTCTATTAATAAAACAAATTGGTAACAGAAGCCAGTAGCCCACTAGGCTAATATACCAGTCACCTAACGAAAACTCCTCCAATGTAGAAAGCATTTATTTTTCAAATACGAGACTTGCAACAAAAGTAAGAGTGGATGATTTAAACAATAATCACAAGACAATGAAAGGGAAAGTTGGTACCGATCTCAGTGTGATTTTTAATCCAGTAGGAGATGATCTTTTCAACCCTTTAAGAACTGGGCCAATCCATCCATTTCCTTCTTTCAATGACTCAGCTTCCTGAACATCATAATTGTCACTAATAATATGCTTATGCTTTAGAATCTAAAACATAAAAGCATATAATAGACCTTCAATGAAAACTTACAAATGATTGTATAATCTCTTCCACTGAATTCTTAGAAAAGAATTCGTCAATTATTGACTGCCTGGAACATTATCAAATGTTTATTAGCATTTGGGTAGCAGGTTCAGAAGAATTCACATATTGGATATGCATAAGTTTACTTGTTCAAAATGCTTCTTGCATCAAGCTGAACCTCAGAAGAGAATTCTTCAATTAAAGACTTGACAGCATCCTTGTCACCCTTATTCAAGCTAATCAACTGTTTCTCCAGCTCAGGTAATTTCTGTTTAGAGAAATAAGATAGATAAGCAATTCAAAATTTAATGCAGATTAAGTGAAACTTTAGATGCAGGATCATTGCATTCCACTAATCAGTTTCGATGAAAATTCAGAGAACCAATAAACACGAAAAAGGAAGAGTACTGCAAGTAGTCAAAATATTTAGGAAAAAGGATCACAGAGCAAGGCGTGGAAGTGCCATATCTCATATGCCACCTTGTATGTGTATAATTAGGATCATTATACATATTTTTAACAAAAAAAATCTTCACTTTGTTGGAAAAGTTGGAATCTAAAGGCAGTGGAAAATTCGAAATACACATTAGGAAGTATTTTAAGCATTATGATCCTGAAATAGCCGTCAAATAGATTCTATTTGAATTTTTGGGTGCAGACACAATGTGTTATACTCTGAAATGAAATAATAGTACCTCTGAAGGCACATAATGAGTAGCCAGTCCAGCTGCAACCAATTCCTGGCCATTTAATCTTGTACCAGTTAAAGCCAAGAACTCCCCTGCAAAGATGTGATCAGAATGTTAAGTGCATGCCTCGAAATAGGTAAGAGAAATGTACATCCTAGAACTAGAGCTATGCAATATGTGATCAAAATTTAGCAACTAATTTCCGTGAACAAAGCTATAGAAATAAGTCACTTAAAGTTTCAGAAAGTAAGAAGCCAACACTTATGTGAAGCCAACATCTATACTGTATTCTTGATAAATATGAAAATGTCCGCTAGATATCATCAAAATTAGTTGTTTCTACCAAAAATAGCATGTTGTGTTTAAAGAATTAAAGGGCTCTATAAGTTCCAAGAACCCTACATATCCGGATATCCCCACATTATTTTCAGCCCCTTATCCACCACACTATCCAGTTTTTATCCATTGCTTACTTCCCCACATACAATTGATTCAAGTTCTGCCTGAAACTTCCAATGCTAGTAACAAAAGAATTTACACATAACTTAGCTTACCCAAGTAACCAGGCAATCGAGAATGTATGTATGAGAAGCCACAGTCAGTGTGAAACCCAATAGCAGCTTCAGGAGTGGCAAAAACCTATAGAAGTAAAGATAAAGTCTAAGGTGAATAATGTGGTAATAGGCTCATGAAAGAACTGTTTTCAAGTATAAGAAACTAACCGTTTTCTCAGTTACAACAGAAAATTTCATTGGAACCATCAATGATGCACCTCCACCCATGGTAATACCATTAACTAGAGCAACCTGAAAATGATATTGGCTTATTATCCACAGTTTGCAAAAAGAAAACTCAAGATGCATCTCACTTATTTAGCTACTAAATGAAGCACCCATGCATATTCTACTATGCACAACCTGAGTTTTCTTGTAGGTGTGGATGTGATAGCACAGCCAATACATCCTGTAAACTACTTCGAGGCAGGAGTCCTCTGCCAAAACCAAATCACAGAAGTGATGTCGTTAACAAATATATCTGAGTTGGAATACATATCTAAAAATTCATAAGATAAAAGTTATTACTTGATTTCTTTCCCTCATAGAAAACCCGTAAATCTCCTCCAGCTGAAAATGCACGGCCTACTCCCTTTGCAAGACAGAATGGCAATAGCACACAGTCAATAATAGAAATGACTAATGACCATAGTTTTGTAAAGAGAGCTACAATTATATTTACACTTTAAGAATATTTATCCACAAAAAAACAGTTTCGTAAGTCTGTAAGTGATATATAAATTCACTAAGAAAGATGGTTCCTTGAAACAAATATGGAGTAGACCAGACATTTAGGTGGAATAATAAGATTTTTCAGCTTTCAGGGTAGTAAGGATAATAATTTTGTCAACCATAATAAAATTTTAAAAATTCTGAACAGAATTAACCTTGATCAATATAAGCTCAACATTGTCATCTTTCTCCCAATTCTCCAAATATCCTGCCAATAGAGACACCTGTATAAATCATAAAACAACGTTAGTTACACTTCAAGCTCTACATGTAAGAGCAGTCCTAAATATTAAAACTCATAAGCACCGTTTCTGGCGAGATCACGTTGAGATGGCGAGGCCGGTTGAGTGTAACCAATCTCACTTTCCCTGCTTCCTCTCCAATAACCACCTGATAATCAATTTAAATAAACTTCTTATGCATAAGAAGCCATCCTCAAAAACAAAACTAGCCACATTTTTCAACATTACAAGAATCCAGAACAGGAGAAAAAAATCCCCCAAAAACACCAAAAGCAAAGTACTCAACTGTTAGGAAACCCAAAAATTTAATTCCATATGGAGTATAACTGATCAACAGTAGTCGGTACATGCTTTGTAACACAACCATCCCCCAACTCAACTCATGTATGTTAATGCACCAAAAATTATAATGTTCTTTCCCAAATTTGAATGTGGATATTGAATTACAACGTGCTTTTGTCATGAATTCCTAACTAAACATTGTTTTGGGAATTGTATTTAATTCTTAATCTACTGTAGCAATTTACATTATTTAGGGAAGTCTATTTTCAAATTTATGAATGAGCAGAATTAATAGCCTAATTTGCAATAATAAATCTAAAAATGATCGTCTTGTTCTCTTCACACTAAAATAACAAAAGTAAAGTATAGAAATTGTACTAATCAAACAGAAATAATCTTAATCAAACAGAAGTAATCTTTAAAGAACTTACTGGTCCTTCTGAGTTTGCCATCTTTGATTATAATTCAACAGTGAACCTTCTTGCTGCATAAAAAATTGAAAATTGTGTCAGTTAAGCTATACCCAAATGTAATTAACAGCAAATTAGGACATTTCAAACACAATTGGCAACATTAAATCAATAACTAACATCATTGTACAAGAAATGATGAAAAATTTACAATACCCAGAAACCCAAAAATACAGAGGATCATGTTAAAGATCACACTGTATTAATTAATCAAATAAAGCATAAAACATTATAATTGGGCAAAAAAAAATTATTAAAAAAAAAAAAACAATTACCAGTGAAAGAAATCAGATGGTAAAGTATACAGTTGGCTGGTTGTTAGTATAAAAAAAAAGGGGAAATTCTTAAATAGAGCAAATGATAGAAGTAGGTAGAGAAGTTGTCACTTTGTCAGCGACCTGTAATAAAAATTAATAGAATACAAGTCATTGATGAAAGACTAGTAGATGGGTTGTTGACTTGTTAGGTTGTTGTTACTTCTTACTCCATCCATTTTCTAATAATTTTATAAAAATTGGAAAATTTTCAATGTTGATTGACAATTTTAAACCTTAATTTTTTTTTTTGAATAGTTTTTAAACCTTAAATTGTTTGTAACGTTTTGTTCAAAAACAGTTTAGTTGGAATGTTTTATTATCATGTCCGTTAGATGTTTAACTTCAAATCTTCAATCATTAACATATTTAATTATCAATAAGAAAAATTATAAAAGATTGATAAAAGTATATATTGAGATGAATTTAAAATTATATTTTTACTTAAGCATATATGGAGTAGTATAAATAATCATAGATAAAAAAAAAATGGTTATAACATTAAAAAATAAACAAAGAACAAATTATTTATTATCTGGTGCCTACCATCCTTTTGTGAATTATTTATTTGTATAATAAATTTGAGCACCAAACATTCAATCTTGTTACTTGTATCATGTTCATGTCACTTGAGAATTGTGGCGTAGCTGAATGCCACCCTCTTTGACAATTGGGATATAGTACAGATTGGACAGGAACATCTTCTAGAAACATCACAATGTTACAATATAGACAACTTTTTATTCGTGAACCTATGTGTCCTGTTACACTCGAGGTAGGGATGATCAATGGAGGAATTTTCGAAACTCCAATTAAAATTTGTTATTATAAAATGGAAATCGGAACCGATACCTCTTAAAAATGGAAAAGGAACTGATGTCTTATTATTTTATTTAAAAAAATAAAACAATTTGTGATTTGGATTGCTAATTAGGTTTTTTTTTTTCAAAAGTGATATTGAATTATTTTATGATTATTGAGTAGGGCATAAATAACTTTTTTTTTTGTTCGGTTCTAGTTCAAGCATCGGAGTACTCGATACTTAGGCCCTGTTCTTTTGAGCTTTTGGGCAGAGCAGATTTCAGGATAGCAGAGTAGAGCAGAGCCGAACAGATTTCAACATTATTATTAATACTATTATTAATGTTATTGTTGTTGTTGTTGTTGTTATTATTATTATTATTATAAAAAAACCTACAAAGTCAATCAATTTACAAGAAATTGGTGGGGAGCCGAGATACAATCTGGGCCCCCACCCCTCTAGCTATTGCGAACCCGATCCTGCTGAAGATGTGAGCAGCCGCACGAGCACCATCCTGAGTCTTAGAGAACGCCTGAACCCGCTTCAGCAATGCAATAGCATCCTTCTCTAATTCCCCCAATGAAGAAAAGGAGAAAGGAAGAAAACCATAGCCAATAGCCCTACAACGCGCCCCATACTTGTCCCGCTTCCGCTGAACCGTTGCCGACACAACACGGCCAGGAACGAAGTCAGACAACCCCGATTGTGTTAAAGGTGAAGACCCCGTCAAGTCAACACATACATCAAGGCCTCTATCCCAGGAATGAAGCAACACATCTGTTGGTCGAAGAGCCCCGTCGTTCCTTCCAGTCAACCCAACGTTAACCTCCTTTCGAGCAGAAATCCCAGACCGAAAACAAATATCAACAAGGGTGTCACGAACAACGTTGTGCCGATGTTTAATACCCACCATCCCAGCACAAGACACTGCATGATCCCCATAAATATCCCCGTCAAAAACCCTTGAGCAAGATGAACACGGTGCTGAAACGGAGAACAAAGGAACACCCAACCGATAGCAAAGAACACTACGATAAGTCTTACCATTCATAGTCTGACCCAAACCCGATATCGGGACCGTCCGCAACCAGGCCAAATTATTATTATTATTATTATTATTATTATTATTATTATTATTATTATTATTATTATTATTATTATTATTATTATTATGTGCATATACCATTGATTTAGGTGAGTGAAAACATAAATATATGTGCACCAGATTTAACATATGTTAATAGTAGAAAGATAAAATACAACGGTTTACTTATATTTATTTCACAAAAATTTTGAAATAAAATAATTAATAAGTAATAATGATTTTACTTAATTTGTCTTAGTCATAAATTTTTAACCTTAAAAATAATAATGATATACAAAGTACTACTTGAAAACAACCTCTTTTTTTAATTATTAGCAGATGCATTAAAAGAATGCATTCACTCTTGGAACCTTGATCTTAAATTGTCAACTGTTGATAATTGCACCACTAACGATGCAATGATGGATATCTTGCTTGGAGACTTTCCTTATGGTTCACTTATTCTGCATGGTCATTTTTTTTCCACATGCGTTGTTGTGCTCATATATTAAATTATTTGATCGTTCAAGAAGGTTTAAGTGTTGTGGTTTCTGATGGTGTTCTAAGAATTAGAGATAGTGTTTCATTTTGGACGGCTTCTCCTAAAAGGGTCCAAAAATTTGAACAAGTGGCTAGACAATTAGTTCCGGACTTTAAAAGAAAGTTAGTACTTGACTGTAAGACTAGGTGGAACTCGACTTATGAAATGCTTATCATTGCTATCAAGTATAGAGAGGTGTTTGTTGTTTTAGGTGCTAGAGATCATTTATATAAAAATCCACCACTTTAGGAGGATTGGATCAAGGTGGAAAAAATATGTGAAAAATTGTAAGTGTTTAGTAATCTTACTCATGACTTTTCTGCATCAAAGTATCCAACTACAAACATTTATTTTCCAAAGATGTGTGCTCTTAAACTTGCTTTAAGTAGTTGTCTTTCATCTCCTTATGACTATGTGAGAGTTATGGCACAAGTGATGCTTGAAAAATATGACAAGTATTGGATTGGTGTCAATGCTCTAATGGGAGTGGCAACAATACTTGACCCGAGATATAAGATGGCTCTTATTCGTTTTTATTTTGGGAAAATATATGATGCTTTGAATGTTGATAAGGAGGTTGAAAGAATTAGCAATCTGTTAAATGAATTGGTTGTTGAATATGAGTCTAAAAATGGGAGAACTCAAGCTTCTAGTAGTCACCCGAAGTCATCAGGTCATATGAGTGGAAAGGTTCAAGGAGATGCTTATATGCAAGAATTTGCTGAGTTTATGTAGAAAGATAAAAGTAAAAGCAATGAAAAATCAGAATTAGAGAAGTATTTAAGTGATGAAAATGTCCCTCTTGATGATGATTTTGATATTTTAATTTAAATTGGTGGAAGACAAATGGGAACACATTTCCTATCCTACAACAAATAGCAAAGGATATCATGTCCATTCCCGTTTCCACAGTCCCATCTGAATCTGCTTTTAGTACTAGTGGAAGAGTTCTTGATCCATATCGCAGTCGACTTTTACCGGAAACAGTAGAAGCTTTGATGTGCACTCAAAATTGGATTTGGTCCAATTATAAAGGTAATTGTTTATCGTATTAAATTTTCTAATTGTATAATATATGACAATTACTAATATGAGTTATACATATTTATTTTGTAGGTGAGTTGAAGGAAGTGCAGCATCAATGGTTGGAGGAAATAGAAGATGGAAGTGATACCGAAGTAACCGGAGTGATCCATTAATTTTCATGCCGTTTAGAATTTTATAACTTTGTATAATTTAATGGACTTGGATTTGTGAATTTTTCTAAGTATGAAACTGTATAATTAATGAGTTTGTAATTTTCTGGTGGACTTTGTAATGTTATTATTGTTGTCAGTGCGATTTTATTTCCATTTTACAGCAGGTTTGGGGCGGGTATGGGGTGGGTATGGATATCCAAACAGGTGGTGGGGCGGGGATGGATCCTACAATGTACCCGGCGGGGCGAGTATGGATTGTGGGTATTGGACCCGCCACGAGTGGTGGGGCGGGGATGGGTAAAAAAATTTTAGGCGGGTACGGGTGTGGAGGTGCCATCCTCCGCATCCGACCCGCCCGGTTGCCATCCCTAGAAAGATTTGAAAAATAATTCAACTCAATGAACTAACAATCAATACCCACATAAAATGTTTCTACACATTTTAATTTAATATATATTAAATGTTTAGAAAAGAAATTGTTATTCTTATTATTTATTTATTTGAAAGAATTGTTATAATTAGGAAAAATACACTTTCATAATCCCAACTATGGGCGATTTACTTCTAATAATCCCAACTAAGATTTTTTTTTTAATAATCCTAACTATACTATGAGTTTTCCTCCGGCGGTCCCAATGACCGGTAACCTGTTGAAAGAGTTTTTTTTTATTTTTTTTATTTTTGGGTTTAATAGGCACGTGTCAAAATGTGATTGGTTCAAATGTTAAAAAATAATAAAGACAAAAACAAACATAAAAATTTTTTTAAAAAAGAAAAACATAAAACACAAATTCCCCGGCCATCTTCCCCACAGCCAAGGCGCCAAACCCTTGCACCTCCCTTGAGCTCGCCTGGAAACAGCCGGCCACCCACCTTAAACATCAAAATCGCCGGCCGATCCTCCACAACCCCTTCCGATCCACCCTCGACCCCCTTCCTGTCCTCTAACCCCCGCCACGTCCATCTCGAAACCCTAACCACCCAACAGGGTGGCATCCCTTATCTTTCTTTCCCCTACCTTAAACGGCGAAGAGGATCAATTTGAGGTGGGGAAAAGGGATTGGTGAGTGGTGGTTGTTTCTTGGTGATTTAAGGGAGGAATGAGGGTGGTTGGTTTTTTTGCCTAGTTGCGTGTGGTTGTGTTCGTGGTGGGGTAAGGGAAGAAGGAGGACGAGGGAGAAAGGGTAAGGATGGACTTGTCGGCGGGAGGAGTTATCAAGGCTCCGCCTGAAGGTGGAGGGGGAGGGGCGGACGGGCGTTTCCGGCGGTTTTTAGGGATGTTCGATTAGGCAGGGGGTGTTATAGGGTGGATTATGGTGGTTAGGGAATAGGGAGGCAGATCGGGTGGTGTTAGTGGGGTTCGGAGACCGTGGATCCGGAACCACTGCGGTTGTGGTGGCTGGCCGGCCGCCATGGCTACTGTTTGTTTTTGTTTTTATTTTTTAAATTTTTATCAGAAAATTAGAAAAATTAAAAATTTCTGAA